CCAATAACGGTGCTTGATCCTAATCCAGGTGAAGTGAGGTCCGATGGGAAACCCAACTTCACTTGCATGTAAACAACTTATGTACCCAATCTCCTGATTTGTACCCTATATCTTTAAAAGAAAAATAAAATAAAAGTGCACCGCTCCTCTCAGGGATAGCTTGAAAGCTCACTCACTGATTTTCCACATCCTTGATGGTGTCAGGCAGAGGCATATTCTTGGTTTCTGGTAGGAGGAAGACAACAAGACCAGCAATGATGGGGAAGACTCCATAAATGATCCAGGGAAAAGCCGTGAAAAATACCTCTAAGGTTATCAAGAGGGGAGCCACTGCTGCCCCCATCCTATCAGCCATCACTTCAATTCCACTAACTCTTGCCCTGGAAAAATGACAATACATAATAATCAGAAAAAAATTCACAAGTGTAATTTGTAATGTATTATTTAGACTAGATTGTCAAAGACAATATAACACCATCATTAGATTTATAAGCAAAACTTTTTTTTATATTTTTCTCTATTATTTAGTAGCCATTTTGTCAGATTCAAAGTGAGTTAAGCCTCCTTTTCATCATTTGAAACAGAATATTACACTTTACACTTACCCTGATAAATGGTTCAAATGGTTACTGAAATGATACATTAAAATACTGCTTTGCACTGTACATGGCACAAAGTCAGCTTGCAGTAAACATTGACTATAATTTTGCTATTAATGTTATTAGTATTATTAGTATTAAAATTATTGCTTTCATACTAAACAGGACTCAGGTTAATTCCCTCAGTAAGTGTCAATTAGCTGGGGTAGTCCTATTTGGGCCCTGACAGAGCATCACATCTCTAATACCTGAGTATGGTGGGGGTGAGTTCAGACAAATAGACACCACTACAGGAGAGAGAAGCAGTAGAACAGCCAGATCCCACACTTGCCAAACCCACACGCAGTGTCTGCATTTCTGGAAAAAGAAAGAGACCAGTAAGACTCTGCAATTTGAGTTGAAGTATCTACATCCAACAAACTTAATCAAAAGAACACTACAGAGCAGCAGTTCCCAAACTTTTTGGCGTTAGGGACTGGTTTTGTGGAGTATAATTTTTCCACAGCAATCCAACCTCGCTGCTAATGTTAATCTGTATTTGTAGTCACTCCCCAGTGTTAGCATCACCACCTCAGCCCCACCTCAGATCATCAGGCATTAGATTCTCATAAGGAATATGCAACCTAGATCCCTCCTAAGCACAATTCACAATTGGGTCCGAGCTCCTGAGAATCTAATGCCACCACTGATCTGACAGATTGTAGAGCTCAGAAAGTAATGCGAGTGATGGGGAGTGACTATAAATACAGATGAACCATCCCTCTCTTGTCCACCTCCTGCTGTGCAGCCCAGTTCCTAACAGGCTATGGACTAATATCCCTGCTGTAGACTATTCGCATGTTTGAAATAAACTGCAGAAAATTAAACAGTGGCAGAGAACATGCAGTTGTTGATAAACTGAGGAATTTAGAAGTATTAATGTAGGTAGGGAAAAGTGCATTAAATTATCTATATTAATTGCAACAAATCTCTCTTCATACCTAAGATTTTCAAGAAAAGGAGGCTAAAAAGGTAATTCTTGCATAAATTTGCTCTTACTTACTCTGTCCAGAATTTGCTATGCTTATGCATAAAAGGTACAACCATTATGTGGACAATTATTGAGGAGTCTGAGATTCAGCCCTGAACATGAGAATTTTACAATTAAAGTACAGAATTTAAAGTGACCAGACATCTGGTTTTCCCAGGGATTGTGATGGGGGGGGCTAGCAATGTGGAGCTTCCATTGATAAAATCAAGAACATATTAGGTAAAACTGGATAAGCCAGTCAATATAGTACAGGTACAGTATTGCTGTGGGGTTGGTATTGCACAAGCAACTAATGAAAAAAAGTATTTGTTAGTGGACTACAGTAAACAGACGCTGCATCTAGAACAATGATAGGCAACATGAGGCAAGAATGTAAACTTCTATTTTGGATGTGGGGACAGAATTTGGGAACCTCTAAAAGAAAGTTTCAGAGAATGTTTTCGGCCTAATATAGAAAGTAATCTATTCATAGTGTTGTAACATTAGAAAGTGTTCTACTGCAAGGCAGAAAACATGCATCATTGATAAAATTCTTGAATAGGAATAGAGTTCCTCAATCTTTAATGTGGTAAAGTATATTCTTGTATTGGGAGGCAAGTAAGGCCTAACGCCAACTAAAGTTCCCCTAATCATTAAAAGCATTCTATGAATTAATAAAATTGCCTAGCAGAGAGTGCAATAAGCTTTCAATCAGTTTAATCCCTTATTCTTACTCTGCATTCCTTCCCAGCTTGAAAACAAAGATGTTCAATTTCCTTAAAGTCACAAAGATTTCCCCTAATCAAGAACTGCAGTCCTGGTAACTTAGCATCACACCAGTGTGGGACTACATAGCAATCAGAAAGTAGACTACTCACTGAAGACATAGTAATAAGAAAGAACCTAGACAGAGCCCACACAAAGGAATTGACTATAATGTGACCTCAAATGGTATGCAACTGCAAGGCCTAGGTCCTCCATATTTGTTACTAAAAGTGTGAGTGTCCAAAGGGTAAGTAATCCATTGAAGACCTAGATACTGGCAAGAATGAGTGATACCACTTTCTAGGTACTTCCAGAATGTGATAAAAATAAATATACATGTAAGCCCCCCCCCTTGCTAACCTTCAACTCTTTTCCCAAAAACTTCATCAGCAGAATGTGCCGTAAACCCTCAGATTGGTTATAGGGAATTCATTGGTTATGTTGACCTTCAAGTGAAACTTCCCTTTATTCTGGTTTCAGACAAGTGTGACCAATATAATTCCTGAAATATTGGGAGAAGACACGTTCTTTCCCCCAAAGTCCAGTAAGCCCAGCCTTCTCTCACCTTGGGACAGAAATGTGTTGACCAAAATGGAAAGTCCCACCAGGAATGAGAACAATATCTGGCTTATTCGACGGCCCAAATGATTCAGTGGCAAAAGGGAAAGACTTCGTATTGTGAGGCTGATAGCTCCAAAAATAACTTGGAACAGGAAAATATTGCTCCCCAAGTGCTGAAGGTTTATTATGATGCCATAATAAGGCATTGTGTTTGCAAATCTGTAGTGAACAAAATAGTAAAGATACATCATAAGATTAAGAGCCTGTGTCTCTGCAGCTGAAGGTCACATTGACCCAGGCAGCCCTTGGTCAGTGTTAAAGAATAAAGACTCACTCTGATTTTTAGGGTATTTTGTTTTGAGATGATTATCTTGAAGTTATCATAAACATTGCATGGCAATGTATGAGAACACGACTCCTGTTATTCTTTTGTCTAAGTCTCCAAGCATACAGTTGGTAATGACAGGGAAACATATCCTGAACCAGTCACCAAACTCAATGGTATATAAAAGTGTTAAAGGTTAAAATTAGTAAAATAATTTCTTTTTGGGGGGTTGTCAGTATATTGGAAGCCCCCCTTTTTTTCCCAACCACACTACCATGAAGAACATTTTCTTTACTAGAGAGTACAGCTCCATGGACAGCACCTATCTAGCAGCACTATTACAATACTACAAGAGAGGGACTGGCAGTATCAGGACACTGCCAGAGGAGGGAGAGGGAAGGCACATAGCATCACTAAGTGTACCTGATCCTAAACCAGGGCAAGTGAGGACTAGTTGGAGGCCTGAACTTCACCTGCACACAGACCATTTATGTATCTAATCCTGACTTGTACCCCACATCTTTAGAATAAAATAAAGGAAAAAAGTGCTAGGAAGTTTAATGTGAGAAGCAGTGAGTATTGTCTAAGGAATCAGAGCAAAGAGACAGAAGTTGTCAATGAATAAGCATATTGTAGAGACACAAGGAATAGGATAAACTTGTTTCTCTCATAGACCAACTATCAAGAGCCATTTTGATTCTAACCCAGAGGATGTCTGAGAAGGATGTTCCTCACTAGACAGGTTTGCATCTCATTTCCTAGGGTTAAGAAAAGGTGTAAAAATTCAGGCAAACACACACCAACTGCACAAAGAAAATAAAACCAAAGGTTCTGGGTTAAGCACAGTGGCTAACACCTGTAATCCCAGCACTTTGGAAGGCCAAGGCTGGAGGATTGCTTGGGCCCAGGAGTTCAGACCAGCCTAAGCAACATAGAAAGACCCCATCTCTACCAAACATAAAAATTGTATCCAGGCATGACAGCATGTGCCTGTAGTCCTAGCTACTCTGCAGTCTGAGGCAGAAGGATCATCGGAGTCCTGGAGGTCGAGGCAGTGGTAAGCCCAGATCATGCCACTGGGCAACAGAGTGAGACCCAACTCAAAAAAAAAATCAAATGTTCTTACTATGGATCCTCAATTTACCCAGAAAGTATCTAAGGGAAATGAGTCTAAGTTGATGATTTACTGAGCCCAGAAACCACCACAGATCACAGCAATTCCAAGCAAGAAAGTCCTTTTTTGACCATATTCTCTACATGCCCCCCAACACACACACGCACACACACACACACACACACACACACACACACTCTGTCTAGGATTCAGAAGCCTGAATCTATGACCTAGGGAGTAGAGGGAAAGTATAAAAGCACAATGCAATTAAATGAAGAAGCGGTCTCCTAGAATATGCCTAGTAACAGGTCGACTGTATAATTCGATAGTTACTATCTTGGGCTTGCTAGTGGATATATATTGCCCAGGATGCTTTTTTAATTTTATTTATTTGTTTTTATTTTTTATTATAAAGATGTGGGGTACAATTCAGGGTTAGGTATACAAACATTTATTATGCAGGTTCCCCTGCTGTTGAGGTATGCCCCTCCATCCCTTAGCTGTTTCCCGTAACTGCCAATCCCACCCCCTCTCCCTGACAGTTTCCCATTACTGCCAAACACCTTCTTATAGTATTATAATTGTTCAAGGTCCGCTTATGAGTGAGAACATATAGTACTCTGTTCTTTGTTTCTGTGATAGATCACTGAATATGATCCACTCTAAATCCATCCAAGTTGCTGCCAAGTTCATTTGTTTTTCCTTCTTTATGGCAGCATAATATTCCACTGTGTATATTTACCACATTTTTTATCCAGTCCAGCTTCAATGGGCAACATGGTTGGTTCCATGTTTTTGCTATTGTGAATAGAACTGCAACAAACATACGTGTGCAGGTATCTTTTTTGTAGAATGATTTGAATTCCTCTGGGTATATTCCTAATAGGGGAATTGCTGGGTCATATGGAAGATCAATTTCTAGTTCTTTCAGAAATCACCACACTGTCATCCAAAGAGGTTGCACTAGTTTCCATTCCCACCAGCAGTGTAGAAGTATTCCTTTTATTCCACATTCTCGCCAGCATCTGTTGTGGTTTGTTTTACTAATGATGATTAGTCTTACTGGGGTTAGGTGGTATCTCAATGTGGTTTTGATTTGCTTTTCTCTGATGATGAGTGAAGCTGAGCACTTTTTCATGTGTCTGTTGGCTGCCCATATATCTTCTTCTGAGAAGTGTCTATTCATGTCTTTTGCCCACTTTTTAAAGGGGCTGTTTGTTTTTTTCCTTTCAGCATGTTTGGGTTCCTTGTAGATTCTAGATGTTAGGCCTTCGTCAGATATACAGTTGTCAAATATTTTTCCCCATCCTGTGGACTGTTTCCCTGCTCTCTTGATGGTTTCTTTTTCTTTGCAGAAGCTTGTTAGTTTGATGAGGTTCCACTTGTCTATCTTATTTCTTATGGTATAGGCACTTAGGGGTTTGATCAGGAATCGGTTGCCAGTTCCAATGTCCTTAAGGGTGTCTCCTGCATTTTCTATGATTCTTATAGTTTGAGGTTTTACATTCAGGTCTTTGATCCATTTAGAGTTGGTTTTTGTGTATGGAGATAGGTAGGGGTCTTGTTTCAATCTTCTGCATGTGATCAGTCAGTTTTCCCAGCATCATTTACTCAATAGGTTCTTCTCTCCCCATTGGTTGTTGTTGAACGCTTTGCCAAAGATGAGTTGGTTGAGAAATTAAGGCTCTGCTTCTGGCATCTCTAGCCTGCTCCATTGGTCTATAAGCCTGTTCTTGTACCAATACCAGGCTGTTTTGATTACTGTAGCCTTATAATAAAGTTTGAAGTCTGGAAGTATGATACCTCCTGCTTTGTTTCTTTTGCTAAGGATATTTTTGGCCATTCGTGGTCATTTATGGTTCCATATGAATTTCTGTGTTATCATTTCCAGGTCTGAGAAGAATGATGTTGGTAACAATGGGTATTGCATTGAATCTGTAGATTGTCTTTGGTAGGATGGACATTTTAACAATGTTGATTTTTCCTGTCCATGAGCATATCCAGTATACTTTTTAAATATCTTCAAAATTTAGAATTATATTTAAAATTTTCCTTACTGATCCTATTAAAATAAGTACTTAGCCCGCCCCCCCCACAAAAATATAATGTACAAGATTGTCTACAGAAGACCTAATGCTAGCACTCTAAATTGGAAACAAGTAAAAGTCCACCAACATTAAAGATATAGAATTTGTAGTATATTTATCTATTGGAATACTAAAACGCCAAGGAGAAAAACCTACTGGTACATGCAAAATAACTAATAAATTCTGAACAAATAGTGTTGAGGAAAAGGAGCCTATCTCAAAGAGAACCATTTTATCTTTTACATTATGTGAAGATCAAGCTCAGGCAACGATGCTGTATGGTGGTGGAGGTCAGACTTGCTCTTAAGTTTTCAGATAAAAAAGTATGAGACAGTGCAGTTGTTATTGCTATAGATGGTGTGCAATGAGTCCTTTCAAGGAATCAGGGTTTTTCTACATCTTAATCTGGGTGTTGGTTGCATTAGCACATATTAAAAATACTCATTAAATTGTATGCATTCATGATCTGTGAGGGGTACTATTTGTAAGATTTGCTTCAAGTAAGACTGAAAACAAAATAAAGAAAATTACAATGTATTATCAGTATCAATCTCTAGTTACAAGACTGATAGGATAATATGTCATAATTAACTCATCATTATGTCATCAGCCTATGTGAATTATTACATGCCTCTGCCTCCCTTCAAGCATAATGAATATCTATATGCTTTCATCTTTTATTTACAAATCATCTCTACACACAAAATAACCACTATTGTAAACTTTTAAAGAAGAAATAGGTTTCTGTCTCCACACTTTTAATGCTCCTCATGTACTGTGTGAAGCCCACCTCACAAAGAGCATGATGCACATCCTTTTACGCATATTGGGGCTGCGGAATAAGTCACACACAGTAGACTTGTTTCGGGCTGCATCCAGCTCCTCCTGCATGGTGGTTCTCACAACCTTCAACAACAACAAACATGTATCATTTACCCACGTAGTCTCAGGCATTGTGATGATCACTGGCATTTAACAGGACAAGAGAGATGGGTTCCCTTTCCATCTAGGGTAACATACTATATGACCAATTAAAGGTGTGTGAGTGGTATGAAGGAAAATGTAGAGGGGAGTTAAAGATGTTGTGAAAAATTATGCAGCAACAAAGATAATTTAAAATGAGGCCATAGAGGGATGTAGGGTATCCACAAGTGTGCATAGAAAGAGGTAGTTACATAACTCCCAAAGTTTTTTTTTACATGAGTGGCCTTGGAAAATGAGAACTGAGCTTCTATTCTCTGCTAACTGCC